AGCATCTAACAAGTTCACTTTGAAAACATCCGCAAATGCAATGCAATAAACAATAGGCTTGCTCTCACATTGCAAAATGAAACAATTCAAAACAACTAAAAGAGGCCCGAAATCTAAGTTACAATAACAACTATTTCACTAGGTTGCAGAAAAAACAAACCCACCTGATAATATCTGCCATCAAGCTTCTTAATACCATAGCCCAACTGAACAGTGCCAAATGACTTCATGTTAGTAAGAACTCCATTTCTTCTGTAAACATGTTTGCTTACTCTAGCAACCAAGTCCATCAGAGCCTCCTTCCTTACATGGGGTTTCACCAGAAGCATACAATCATACAGAGGCATTTCTTTCTCTTTTCCTTTTGTGCAGCTCAACTGGCTTTTTAAAACTGTACGCATGTACACAAATATCATTAACAGAAATCCAAGGCCAGCAAATTATAAACCCTAAATCAATGAAAAAATGAACTTCCAACAATGTTGTATAATTTATAAATTACATTCACAGTTAAAATTGAAGATTATTAAACAAAATCATAATTATTTAGAATTATAAATTATAAATTTATACCAAAATCATGCAAAATAAAAGGATATATATATATATATATATAAAGTACCATAATTGATATAAAACATGGGGGAAAAACGAAAAAGTTAAGCATAATAGTACTATTGAAATGAAAGGCTAGTCCTCTAAGTCTTAACTCTTCCTCCTCTCCATATCCTCCGAGCCGGTCGCGGCCTGGTGGTGGTGGTCTTTCGTGAGAGAGAGAGAGACGGTTCAGAGGAGAGAGAGGCAGCGTGAGGGTTTTCTTTAAAGTCAGGAATTTTTTTTTTTAAAAAAAGAACCCCACCCGCCCAGACCCGTCTAGGCGGTGTCCTTCCGCCTAGTGTACGCCTAGGAGCCTAGGCGCCGCCTTTTCGAACACTCACAGGTCCATTAGAAGATGAAAGTTGAACATTTTCAGCAGCTCCTTGAAAAACGAAAAAGTTAAGCATAACAGTACTACAAAGAAAAATACTTGAAATGAAAGGCTAGGCCTCTAAGTCTAATTCTTCCTTCTCTCCATATCCTCCGAGCCGGTCGCGGCCTGGTGGTGGTGGTCTTTCGTGAGAGAGAGAGGGAGACGGCTCAGAGAAGAGAGAGGCAGCGTGCGGATTTTCTTTAAAGTCAGGGAAAAAAAATTTAAAAGAACCCGACCCGCCCAGACCCGCCTAGCGCCCGCATAGGCGGTGTCCTCCCGCCTAGGAGCCTAGGCGCCGCCTTTTCGAACACTCACAGGTCCATTCGGCACCAAATAAAGATGAAAGTTGAACATTTTCAGCAGCCCCTTGAAAATAAAAATAAAAAGGACTAATGTAAACAAATTAGCATATACATAATCACAACCACCACAACCCATACCCAACGTCAACGAATCCCAAAACATCACAACCCTAAATCCCCAAAATAACAGCCCTAATTAGACTCAGACGAAGTTACAGGGAAAATAAAACCAATTTATTGTCTACGAAATCCATATAATGGCTGATAAAGCAATCAGAAAATGAACCAAGAATTGGAAAATTAAAATCAAAAGAATGAGACAATTGCGTCCAAAAGTTAAAATCCAAGGGGAAAGGGGCGGGGAAGGAGCTCAGTACCTTGTAGTCTTTCTTAGGGGACTGAGAAAGCTTCAAAGAGCGCCCGCCCAGACGGAGGAGAAGGCGAAGGCGAACAGGCCGATAAAAATGGAGTTAATATCATTCTCTGTGATCTCTAAATCTGGGCCCGTAAATTATGAACAAACGGATGAAAATGGGCCACGTTCCCCAAACATTTTCACCTTAGGCCAGCCCGATCCAATTTTTTGATGGATCAACGATCTCACTAAGGCCTAACCTCACCCCGTTGAAGAGGTTGGTGTATGATAGCAGAAGAGCACGTGGTTGGCACGTGTAGACCAAAAGGCCTGCCTCAGTGAGTCAGCGTCTTTCGGGGTTCAAATCGATCCGTTCGTAGGCCGGACCTCAAACAAGGCGGTTTCAGACTCAAACCGCCCAAACAATTAAAAAAAGAGAAGGCCCAAACCGCCCAACGAAAGTCTGTTGACGAAGGCAACACGTGTTGATAAGAACAACCCCAACAGCCATTCACTTGAAGACACGTGGTTTGTCGGTCCCTTTCTCGGCAACCAAGGTTCTTACCATACATATCATTAGCCCATCTATCCTACCAAATTTACAAACGCACCAACACACAGCCAATCGAAATTCGTAATTTTAAGAAGAGAAAGTGCAACATGGTAATTGAATATTGGTAAAAGTGCAAAACCAAGTTGGTCAAATTTCACCAAGCGGGTAAAGCCTAGCCTACTCACGCGCCTTGGACGGTTCCAAACCTCACGCCACGTCACGTGAATTACCGAAACCTCTCTATAAATACACACTCACACATGCTGTGCAAAGTATAGGCATTCCTTCTACTAAAACAAATTTCCAGAAGCGTCATAAGTAATATCATTTTCTTTTTTCTTTTTCTTTTTCTTTTTCGTTCTTTCTGCTCTCTCTTCTCCTCAGGGAAAATGGGGACGGCGATTCTTCGTTCCCAGGATTGCCTTCGAGGGCGGCTTCGCCACGAAGCCCTAACCCTAACCCCTCGCTCCGGATCACGCCGAAGCCCTAATTTTTCTAACCCGAACCCTAATCACAGCCCCAACTATGGCTCTAACGCTAATCTTCATCAATCTCGCCGCAGGAAGAGAAGTCCGATGGGATTCCAATCCAATCAACATGATCGCGGTCGAGATCGGTACTCTGATCGCGCCATGGTTGCGAAGGTCCCGGCCAAAAACCTGGTGATGGGCCAGGTCAAGATCCTGAGGCGCGGGGAGGCCTTGAGCCCGGAGAAGAACAACCGAGGACTCGGAGTTGTTTCCGGCGATGCTGGCAAGCCGAGGGCAAAGAGCGAAGATGTTCCAGATTTGGTACTGGGATCGACGGACCGTTTGGGCCCCGACCCGGAGACTGTTCAGAAGCAGATTAAGGTTGCAGAATTCAAGGTCATGGATGCGATTTACGCTGGATCGAGCGCCTTCTACGCGTCTCCACCCCCGAGCTCAGTGCCTTTGCCTGCTTTTTTGGGAAGGAACGGCACGGCGACAAGCGATCTGCGTCGGCTGCTGCGACTCGATTCGGTGTGACCACTCGGCGGCATTCGATGGCTGGAAAGCAGGGGAAAGGTTCTGGCTTGGCAATCTGGCAGTAGGGGTGTTTGAATCGATTGATAGATGATGAATACGAGGGAGAGTTGAAAATTGTTCGGTTTGTCTCAATTGCTTCCTTTATTTTTTCAAGAGGAAAGTTATATTGAGTGTTAGCAAATGGTAGCGTGTTGCTAAGTTTCTTAATATGAAAGAAGAAGAAGAAAAGGAGTAAGTAGTAGGAAGTTTGGATCTTGCTTTGTATATCCTCAAGTAGGAGTAAATGTGTGTGAGTTAATGGGCTCGTAGAAGTTATAATGATGTAATTTGAGTCTGCGTCTGTTTCGTCTTCTATTCTCTCACTATAATGTTAGAAGTGTGTATTCATAACTCATCAAGAACAAAAGAATGTGTTAGTTTTACATTTGTTGGAATAAAATCTTAGATTTGTACTGCTTAATGTTGCTGTCAATCATTTTGTCAAGTTTTGCAACTTCTCTCTCCCGCCGTTGGTTTGAATGTTCTTTGGATGCTTATCTTTGTTGTTGTTGATGCCAAGCCTCTGGTGCTGATGATGGGAAATGGGATTCGAAGTTTTTCTTGTTGGAAATGGTTTCGGGAATAATATAGGTGCCCTGCCCCTACAACAAGGCTGCTGCAATTTCATTTCTTGTTGGTAAATAAAAGAATCTGTTAAAACCAAAACCTCAGGCACACACAAGACAAGAAGCCAGCAGCACTGCAAGGCACAAGGCTCAATCCTAATAAGAAATGGACGTTATTATTTTTGAAGGATTGCTTTCTTGCTTGCATGCTGCAGTCAACACAAGAGATTGCTCTGGGGCTGAGAATCCTGAGATCATTTAAATAAAAGCATAGATATTGATTTGATATTGCTGCTGACTTAATTGTAAGGGTGGTCATGTGCTTACTTCGTTTATATCCACTAGACTCTAAAACATGTCACACTGTGGAGTTGTTTGGCCTACGACTAATAGAGCTATCAACTTCAGGATATTCAGGCACTATCCTCTTCCAGAACCAGTGCTTTCTCCACATCAGTATCATCTCTTCAATAGGAATTCCCTTGGTTTCAGGCAGGAACACGTAAACGAACACCGTCATCACAGTAATCCACCCAGCAAAGAAGAGAAAGATCCCGAATTTTAACGCACATAGGAGGGCAAGAAAAGACTGTGCTATGATGAAGGTGAACAGAAGGTTCACAGCCACTGTAACGCTTTGTCCGGCTGATCGGGTTTCCAGTGGGAATATCTCGCTTGGCACTGTCCAGCCGAGCGGACCCCATGACCATCCGAAAGCTACCACAAAGAGGCAGATCACTGCCACCACCAATACTGAGAATCCTTTTGATAGCTCTTGATTCTCACCTAACTTGACCCCCAGGATTATGGCGACTATGACCTGTTTCACATTCAAGAGGAGAGAATATTAAGTGTTTAGAAAGCCTTCTAGAAATCCAAAGGAAAGAAGGAATTTTAATCAGTTGTTAGTGTTTATGAAGAGAGATCAATTTTACCTGGCATAAAATCATTATTATTCCACCACTAATGAGCAAAACTCTTCGACCGAGCTTGTCAACTATTGCAATAGATATCAGTGTAGATGAAACAAGAACTGCTCCAGTTAAAGCCGAGGAGTAGAGAGCAGCATTTCCCCCAAACCCCATACTTTGAAACAACACTGGAGCATAGAAGAGAATTGAATTTATGCCTGTGAGGATCTGGAATGTTGGCATGAAGATTGCCATAACCAGTTGAGGCCTGTTCCTTCTCTCCAGGATGTTCCTGAAAGGGTGCTTTATTGCACTAGCAAACTCACTTGCATCTAACATGTCCTGAAACTCTGCACTGACATTTTCGGTTCCTCTGATTCTCTCCAGAAGTTTTCGTCCTTCTTCTTTACTTCCTCGTTCAATTAAGCTATTTGGTGTCTCAGGAAGAAATATTCCTCCCACCGTCATTACTGTAGCAGGTACTATAGCCAGGCCTAGAGAGAGCCTCCAACCCCATGGTTCGAGCTTTTGTGTTCCATAGTTTACCATGTTTGCTATGAAGATTCCTAGCGTAGTTGCCAACTGAAACATCATGTTTAAGCCTCCTCGAAGATGAGTTGGCGCCATCTCTGATAGATATAGTGGAATAGCCTTTTAAGACACAAGAAGGAGGCAGAAAAAATCAGTTTTATTTGAACATTGAGGGTGCTTAACATACAGTTGGTTATATTCTGATTCATCTACAGTCTATGGTCAATAAATTGTTGCCAGAAAGAAGTCATTGTCTCTTCTGTAAATTAGATACATTTAAGTCCTTAATTAATATTCTCACATTCGTGCTTCTCACCCTGCCATTTGGCTCATGTGGTAGGCCTTAAAGGAAAACAAATTTACATTTGGTAGTGATTAAGGATAAGCAAAGTGTGATACCTGATTTCCAAATCCAATACCAACACCAAGCATGATCCGACCCAAGAGAAGCATGGCCAAATTGGCAGCTGCAGCATTTAGAGTAGCTCCAACAAGGAAACTGATTCCACCACAGATTATACTTCCGCGCCGTCCATAGTTTCTTGTAACTGGAGAAGCCACCAAAGATGCAACTAAACCGGCGAGGTACAGAGAAGAGGTGAATGCTGCAAGACCTTGGTTGTCGTACTTGCAGTAGTTGTTTTCATGTGCAAGCATTTTTTGTTTGTACACCGTTTTGAAGAATTTATGAAGAAATCCATCCATTGAGGTAACCCCACCTATTGATTGTTAACCAACATTTTAAATGAAATCTTCAGCAAGACTATCCCCTCAATATTTCACACGCATTCAGTTACAAATTAATGCTGAAGTTCCAATAGTTTGTGATAGCTTCATTTTCTGCTGATTGATTCATTCATGACCATCAAAAAGTAGAGTAAAATTCACATGAATCAATCTGCTGATAGACTAACCATGACATTTTTCATACTTCCTAAATTCTTATATTATATTAGAGCAAAAAGTAGCAGAAATCAGGAATTGCAATCTAGATCTCGGTAGAGCAGCCTCTGGAAACACTGCATGTTGTACATATATAATTCAGTTTCTATTCTGTTGTTACTGGTTTCAATGATAATTAATCTCATCACCATTTGTTGCATGTTAAACTTGTATTTCTCTGTTTCTCAACCAGATTTCTTAACCAGGGAAAAGTGATGCATATTTTTCTCCCTTCTCTTTTTTAGCCAGCCAGATATGCAGAATTTATAATACCAGGTAAAAAAGCAGAACTTTTCAACATTAACTTTGCTTTCGTGTCATCATTCTATACTTGTACGTCTTGGTAGATTACGTCATCAAAGCCAAAAAAAAGCCCAGAATCTAAGGAAAAGAGCTTGGCAAAAAAGCAGGTGGGTGGGTGCGGTGAGGAAATGAAAAGGTTACCTGAAATTCCGATATCATAACCGAAAAGTGAGCCGCCAACGGCAGCAACAATGCAGGCAACGATAACATAAGCGGTGAGCTTGCCTTGGTACTGCTCTGCTCTCTCCTTGGCCACGCCGGCTGGAGCAAAAGACCCACCTGCCATTTCCAAACAGAAAGGAGCTGCTTCTGAAACTTCACCAATTTCTCTGAGATTCTGATGGTACAACACACAGAAACAACGTTTTCAACCTTTTGAAATGAAATGAATGAATATGATGAGCCTGGCTCACTTGGATTTGGTTCGGGGTTTTTATATCAAAATCCCAGTTGACTGAAATGAAATGAAATGAAATCCCCACTTGGCTCTCTGAATAGGACAGAAGTAATATCCCGCAGCGTTGAGCTTAGAAAAAGAAGAAAGAAAATTTGTTTATGTTGATGTGTGCGTCAGCATAGTATAAAATATCGAAAATATCGAAAATATCGATGAAATATTGAGGTTATTATCGTTTTTTAGATCACGAATATTTCATAACATATCCATGAACATATCGTATAAATATCGATAATATCGGAAAATATTGATGTCGATAATTTTGGTCACAGTTCAGCAATATTTTATCAAAATATCGCTATAATATCGTTATAATATCGAAAATATCGATGTAATGAAAAGAAGGAAAAAAAAAAGCACAAAAGAGATTCAAACCTTGCCATTTCACTCCTTCAATGCCTTAACCACTGTGTTGCTTATGTTTCTATGATAATATGCTAAAATATATATATTTATATTGTTTTGAACAATTACATGCAAAACTATTTTTGTAATTTATCATTTGATGACTGCTTTTCATAATACACTTACTCTACACATAGAGATGATGAAGATAGTGAAAATTTTGAACCTCATAAGAATTATGTATGGTACCAAGTCACTCATATATCTTATCATGCAATGTATAAAGTGTTAAATGTTATAGTAAATCGTTATATATAAATGATTATGGTGTGTTTAATCTTCTTTCATTAATTACTAAATATTTTCTACACTCACAGCATTTATCAGCTCGCTATATAATCAACTTAAATCAGTTAAACCCATCGTGCAATATATTTAATCCCAATTTTTTGTGATAAACTAATAGATAATTGACTGAATAAAAATATTTTCTACACTCACAGCATTTATCAGCTCGCTATATAATCAACTTAAATCAGTTAAACCCATCGTGCAATATATTTAATCCCAATTTTTTGTGATAAACTAATAGATAATTGACTGAATAAACATCCTCCAAAGTTTCAATAAAAATTTCCAAGTTTCTCTTACAATTTCCGTGATTTTTATACAATTTTTATCGATATCGATAATATTCCGATATTTTCATCGAAATTTCAGTATTTTTGGATTACCGATATTTTCGATACCATCAATACTTTAGACCTTGTGCGTGAGCGAAGAAAGAAGAAACTCTATTTTATTGTAGTTTTGTTTTCTTTTTTGTTTCGGGGGCGATATTCGCTGCCTTGTAAAGTCATACTCCTGTCATGTGGTGTGTTGAATGCCACTGGAGTGCCGAAGTTATGCGGGGAAGAGTGAATAGCTCCCCTTTTTTTTGTTGCAATGTTATAACTTATTACAATGGTCGACATATCTAATTCTTACCTTAACCTGGATTTTTTTGGTTGATTTTACTTGGTAATTGTACCGTACGGATTATCCTTTCCTTATCCCAAGTGGATGAGACATTCATTTATGGTAATTAATAAAAAGCAACCAACAGATCCCTTCACAGAAGGAAATGCAATTCCTTGAATATTTACATTTGGATTTTGAGTTTATTATTTCTTTGAGTGTGGATAGGCCTGTTGTGGTGCATGAATAAAAAGAGAGAGTGTTGAATTGAATCAGTGATTTAATGCTGTATCTACAATATTCAAGAATGAAATCATGAAACTAGAAAAGAGAGAGAGAGAGAGAGAGAGAGAGAGAGAGAGAGAGAGGTCTCAATTCACTTTTATGATGATGATGAGTCAAAATGTGGATGGTCTATTATGTTGAGTTGTAGCCTCCGCTGTCCACTTTGGTGGGCTGGGCAGATTGTTGCATGCTTTTAGTTTCATATTTGATGCAGAATCTCAGATGTTGTCTGCTCTGTTTGGAGTTGGGTGAGTGAGACACAACATGTATGGTATAGTCCTAGTCTTACTTTTGCAAGTCTTTAGCCACTCCGCAATTATATTAGCACTAAAGTTCGATGCTTTGGATCACACACAAAAAGGGCAAAGAAAAGGTGCTGGATTTTAGTAAGATAATCTTCTTCTTTATTTATTTATTTATTTTAATATTCTGGATTTTAGTAATTCTTGTAATTTAAGATGAGCAGCTGGCTGTTGAACCCCTTGAATGATTGTTGGTTAGTCTGCCTCTTGAATGGTTGTTGGGGAATATCCCAATCAATATTTCTTTCTTAGTAAATTTAGGTTTTAGACGCAAAAAAACTTTCGCTTTTGGAAAAAACCAAAATTTTTTCCAAAAGAAAACAGAAAAATGCCTCAACTTTCAAACAAAAAGCATGTAAATGTAAGGAATTCCTCAGGAAATCCAAAAATAAATAAGGGCATTTTTGTCCATTTGGCTTCTTTTCAAAATATCTCTTCTTTCTTTCTAGTATTGCAGGCAAATCTGATAGATGAGGTCCCAGAAAAAGCAAAAAGGTCGTGAAAGTTGGGCTATTTTATGAAAATTTTCCTCCTCATATTCAATAGCATCAAAGTTAGGCTTAGGATAGATGAACTTCCCAATGTGAAGGGTATCTTTTCTCAATATAAACAAGTAAATAAAACAAGGGTTTAAAAAGACAAGTCACAGCAACTAATTCAAGGCTGAGTGAGTGGATTCTACAAACATCAAGATGATTGTACAATTTGTCATCTCAGTCTTATCAACAAATATCAAGAAAAGAAAAAGCCAAACCATCTCAGTTTTTCTTGTTTATTGATTACGTTTACCATTTTGATTATGAATCGAAAAGAAATGAGAGAGAGGTTAGGCATATGAGGTTGCGTGCTGCGGTGATCCTATCTTGTTGTCCAACTAACCTAGTTGGTGACTTTTCGTGGATCAACTACTAATTCCACAACAAAGTCACACTAATTTATTTAATATTAAATTTATTAGATACTAATAATCAGAAAGGTTGAATTGTGTGTGATTTTTCTGCGGTTCTCTCTTATCCTCAAATGCATTCATAACAATAAACAGAAATTTCTCAACCAGATCATTTCATTGGAAAGGTTTGATTACATTTTGTTTCTCTTCTCTATATACCCCTGCTTTAAGCTTCCATGATGCCTAGAAGCAAACTCCCCAATTTACTGACAGAAAGCATCTTAAAAGGTGTAGGATTCATCCTTGTTGGCTAATATACTCACATGTGATGCAGACTACATATATACTTCTTTTAGTTTCCACTCAAAATATACCACTTAAGAATCCCCTGCAATTTGAAAAGGAAAGAAATAGTTAAAATAGCATACCAGAGCGTTGTGGCTACAAACACTTCTGTAAGTTGAAGGTTTCTTACCAGAATCCCAAGGCTTTCTTACTCTCATTTCTGCAAAAGTTGATTGAGATGGAATCATTCAGTCAGGGAAGTGCTGGTCTATCAATTTTAAGGAATGAAACAAAGATAAGGGCAGGCGTTTTCATGAAAACAAATTATCCTTATGAGAGTTTACCTAGGCTTTCCTTCGAAAGCATCATTCACTTCATCGGTACTTGGCTTTTCAGGAAATGTAGACAAGATAACATACTTCTCTTTCCCAGAAGGGTCATCCACCCTCTTGTACAGTTCGTAACGATATGGATAAGACATCCTAAGACATGAGGTGAAAAGTGTTGAGTACACTTAGAAATGTCAATGTTCATAACATTTCAGGCATGGCATAGTGGAGTAGCAAGTGACACTAAGCTTACCTGAGAGCACCCATAATTGGATATTGGGTTCCTGCATAATAGAGAAGCCGAAAGAAATAGCAATTTTCGAATGATGAAGCATACTCCAATCTCTTGTCGCGCCCCATGGTCTTTAAAAGGAAACACAGTCAAGAAATTGATTGGTTTCTATCAAGTTAATTGAAGACACTAGTTCTTAACTTACTTGCATGATTCCACTCGAAGCAGGCAAATCCTGAAATTTAAAAAACTCTATCAATATATCCACTTAAAAACAAGAAATTGCATAGTGTTGCTTAAGGTTTTCTGCAAATGCATAATGTGATACCAGAAAAGACCCTAGATCGGTCAGTGTACTACTCATAAGCCATAACTTCAAAGTGAAACAATTTCATGGCTTTAAATTAGATTTCCTTTACAAAGTTTTAAGGAAAGGGAATAAATGTGGATAAGAATTACTTGGACTCATGGATATCACATAACTATAACTGCAAATCATTTCATCAAGATGTAGCATAGAAACTAAACCTTGAGCCTGGGATTGATAAGAATTACTGGTCGGTCCCCAGCAGCATCGGTCATAGCTCTTAGATCCTGTAAATTTAATAAAAGGGCTCTGAATAACAACAGAAAGGTAGAAATAAAGCATGTCAAGTACAATTGCTCTCTCCAACTATAATAGTGGAACATTCAATCATCAAGATGCTTACATCGATAATACAATTCCCAACAGCATTTTGAGGAGCTACTAAGATAAACAGGTCATCTTGCTCATCTACCTCTTTGCCACCTGCACTTGCCAAAAGAGAGACTAAGGGTATGGATATCATAATCATGTTCTGTTGAACTTTTCTTTCTTTCTTTTATTTTTTTATTTTTTTGTAAGGAAATTCTATAGAACATATGTGAGAAAAAAAAGGAGGAGAATTTTCATGTTAAGTGGAGCAACTAGAAGACAAGGACTGAATCTCCAATGCACCAATCATTGATGTGGAGAAGAGTTGTGTTAATGAGTTATACACATCATCACGAATTCATAATGGAAGAAGCATTATTCCAAATGTCTCAAGGCATTTGGAGGACCAATATCTAGAGATGCAGTAAAATGAACATCAACTGTCGAGCTGACAAATGCATGACATTACTGTACCTATAGAACCAATATTGATAAACGTCCCCATAGCCTCATATTCACCCCAGTCCATGAACTCCAAGATTTTTCGAGTACCAGCAAGCTGTAATGGCATTCCAGCAAGAGCGCCTTCCCCCATAGAGCCTTGAACACAAACCTGACAAGCAAAATTTTGGATGACTCCTGGAAGAGCTTACATTATAGTTGGCCGCTAATCTAAATCAGTAGCAACCAGGACTAAATTACCTTGACATGTTTCCCATCATCGGCAAATGAAAGAGCAAGAGATCGAACAAGTTCCATTAAGGTACCTATTCGATAAACATCCTGTGCATCATAAGATATGGTTAACTCCAAACAGATTTAGGAATACTAAGGTAAATGTCCCTTACCATTTCTGGGTTCAGCTCTGGAATATTAATCTCCACCTGCCAATTTTCAAAGACTGATTAAGATAAATAATAGACTTAACGAAACGGAAGATGATAGTAAAATAAGACTGAAAATGATTTTGTGTAACATAGTGGATGATGTCTCCGGATTAACCAGACCCCTAAGTCCTAACTGACATAATTGTAATCCCCTGTTTACCAAGGTTATTTGATGTCAGTCAAGGGGTCCCAAGAACTACAGCATCTCGCCTGACAGTGCAGTAGCCAAAAAGAAATAAAATGCCCAAGAAAGAGACAATATGGTAAGGCTACGAGTTTGTCCACTGCTCCAAAACTATATTAGATGATATGTTCTAAGTTCTAAGTAGGAAGACAAATTTCGTCTTTCTAAAGTAAGAATAATTCTCTATGATAAATGGTTGAGAATGTACAGGAGCATCTCACAACCCAGCTTGAAAATAGGTTACAAAATCAACAGAGATTTGTACATGTAACAGGCACAGTTCACCTTGGTACTTGAAGTTGCCTTAACATGCCTTACCAGGCCCAATGGTTAATATCCATGATCACCTATGCATTATAATTTATAAGTAGAAATGACCAATAAGAAACCTTTAGTCGAGTTCTTCCATCATTTATTGCTCTTTGGGTGGCCTGCAGCACATCCTCATAGAAATATTTCCTGATGTCTCTAGAATGTGGAATGTTATTCAATTTAGTAGGAATTCCCCTCCAGTTATCCTGTAAAATTTCAAAAGAAAAATTGGAAAGGAACTATAACAAATTATTTATCTGGATTAAAGATGACTGATTCTATAACTAAACATATACCTGGACTGAAGTTGACTGATTTGATTTCCCTGGAAAATGGAAAATTCTTAAAATCATCATGCACAGTAATTTAGAAAACTCATTTAGGAACAAGTAATGTCAACAAAAATAGATTTAAGACTCTCTTACAAAATCAATGGAGAATAAATTTGCACACATTCTGAGAGAAACTCAGCTCCATATAAGTATTAATCACTTAAGTTAGGACAAACTCATATAATGAGCTTCAGATCCTGAACAGACTTACCTAATTTCATCTTCGTTTCTTTATCTTTCTGCACTTGTGACAATATAGAGTCTATTACTTCAAAAACTACTTCCTTAGGATGGTTCCCATCGATCTGTGGTTTCAAGAGCTTTAGTATAAAACATGAAGTCCTCTACACAGATTCATATAAAGAAACCGGAAAAGGAAAAATGATAACACTATATCACTAAACACTCACCTTTTTCATTATGTGGGAGTAAGTGGTTGAGATTGCATCAGCATTTTGCTTGTATATTTCAAGGCGTGACTTCACCTAAATGGAAAACGGAATGAAGTCAAAAGCTTCTGAGGCCCTATTTGATGGAATTCACCTAATCTGAACTTAGTATATCCTATATCCTTTCATACTAATACTATACACATCCTAATGGATTTTATCTGCTCCAAAGTATTGCCACATCACATATAAAGGAAGAATGGACAAAATATCAAGTTACATGTGCATATTAGAAAATCAATTACAAGTTACATACGTTTACGAGAAATCACTTGGAATAACAATGTAGGACAGAAATTCATGATGTCAAACCATACCTTTTCCTCGGTGTCATCAGGACGGGTAATAAGTCTTGCTTTAATTTCCTCAGTCTCTGGAGGGAAACTTTTGAGATGGTAAATCTTCCCTGTAATTGGGTCTAGCCTTCTTCCAATACATCTGTCGATTAGAATTTCATCAGGAACCTGAGTATTAAGAAATAATGACCATGTAAAGATCAATTCTGTTTGTACAAAGCTTGTATGGATGCAATTGAGATGACTAAGGGGAAAAACTTCTTGAAAATACACGTGCATGAAACTACTTCTTTTCAGCAAAGTTATAATTTCCTTCCCAAATGTCACTCACCAAAAGACACCCAACCGTATTTGTCAAAACTAAGATATTATGAGCTGGAATTAAATGAAACAGCTAACATACATCATAAGGAATTCAGTAGAAGTAGAAAGCTTCCATTCTATACAAGACTCACATACATCTAATACAATGTAAACATCTGGTATTATCTTTAAACTTTGCAGGCTTTGTGCTTGGTTAAAACTTCGGGGGTAGCCATCTAGAAGCCACCCGTTTTCCTTTGCATCTTCCCGTGATAATCGTGCTGTGACCATCTACAAAGCAAGTGTTTTCGATACGATTACCAACTATTTGATAAGGGAAACTTACATCATGTAAGATTTTGAGTCATGAGTTGATAGAATACCGCAGTCACGACTTCATCAGGGACCAGACGGCCAGCATTCATGAACTCTTTGGCTTTATTTCCAATTTCTGTCCCAGATGACACTTCAGCTCTTAGAAGGTCCCCCGTTGATATGTGTACTAATCCAAACTAAAGAACCAAGAGAAAGAAAGAACTCATCAGTCATAGAAAACGGGCTATCCATTCCAAACACACACACCAGGCCCTTCTATATATAAACTTAACTCATAAACAATGAACAAGTAACTTATATCTATTAAAATGGTTACCTTGCGGACAATCAATTCACACTGAGTTCCTTTGCCTGATGCCGGTGCACCGGATATCATCACCTTCAGAGGCTCTTTTAAAGAACAGTTGAGTTTCAGTCCCTGTCAAAAACAGAACAGAAAGTGTACAATTAATAATCTTGTTTAATTTTAAAAAAAAAATTGACATCAAGCACAAGCTTCATATCTGTTTTTTTTTTCTTTTCTTATACATTGGATTTGTAGGTAATCCTCAAATGGGCATTGTTGTAGAGTCGCAGAGAGCAGAGACGATGAGAAGATGGTTCAAGCGATACAGAGGAAGAAGAAAAAGAAGAAGAAGAGGGAAAAGGAGAAAAAGGAAACAGAGAGGGAGAATATAAACTGGAGGAGTGAACTGGAGAGAGTGAGGTGTGCAACATTCTTCTGCTCTCACTGTGTATGAAAGACAAAGAGAGAGAGGAGAGAGAGTTTTGGGTAGAAGTTTAAGCAATGGGGTAAAGGCAGGCCAACAAGTTTAAGCGGCTGATGCTAACGGAAAAACGGACACCACGAGTTATGTTTTCTCTATTGGAAAGGCTGTCTTTTTGGTGGCTTTTGACAGTTTTGTCCTGCTGGCCATTTATATGATAGGGGCCTTTCTCTCCTTTGGGCAAGGCAAGGCAATGCAAGGCCTCTGCTATTTGCCTTGCGTTTTTGTTGAAAATCGAGGCTTTGTAACTGAGGGAAGCCCTCTCTTCAATTAGAAAGAACAGCTAGCTGTTGTTGGTATCTCTACAAAAAAGTCTGAATTTTGGGATCATCACTTCATTTTCTTCTATTTCAATTTTGTTCAATTTTGTTCTTATGAAATATCATTAAGCTAATATTTTAAAAAAAAAACAAAAAAAAAAAAACACTTCCTCATGTCGATTTATTCTTCCTACTCATGCATTGGCTATAAATGGTTAGAACTTCAGTTGGTTTATCGTTGTATCTGTGTCCTCCATTTTTTTTTTGGACCAATGTATCTGTGTCCTCCATAGTTGAACATGTTTAATGGAAAAAAAAAAAATTTGCACTATGATGCAGCCACTTGGCCATGAAGGGTCCACCAGTACTGAGACATTGGTGCTCTAATTCATACAAATAGCCTGGCAGATATGCGCCCAGGGAAGAAAAATCAGATAAAAGAAGCATGACATGAACAAAACCACTAGAATGCCACAAAATGTAGAAATAATAATAAACAGCTTTTGCATTCTAAAAACCATATAAACCAATCGCGTACAGAACGATACGACTCTCCTATCCGCCAGAATGCAAATAAACTTCGGTATCAAAGCTATAACCCATGATGTCCGTCTATTAAAGAATTTAGCAAAACTGGACGAATTATTGTTATTACAATGAACTAAGTTCCCTAACACAACAAAATGAAAAAGTAACACATGATAGAGCACATCTGTAGAGTTTGCCTTCTTTCTTCCCTTAATGATATCATTCACTGCTACTCTTTAAAGTGCCAATCTTTGAGTCGCTAAAGTTCTTCAGTCCAGCTTCACCGAAGAGAACAGGTAGTGCACAAACCAGAATGACGAAAGGAATCCAACTGTGCCTGTTGCAAGCATGATGGCCACCACCATGAAGAGCGAGTACCCCAAGTAAAGCGTGGCTGAGACAGGTCCACTTAGGCTCTTAAGATCAAATACAAGGTAGTTTATGGAGTACAAGAAAATGTATATGGCAACCGAACCAGAAGCAAAGAAGGACTTCCACCACCATTTCCAGTCCTCCACACAAAGATGCATGTAGGTTAGAACTAGAGAAACCTCAGCACAAACCACAACAAGAAGGATCAATACGATGAAGAGAAACCCAAACACATAATAAACACGGCCCATCCAAATGCTAGACATGATAAAGAAGAGCTCAATGAATAGGGTGCCAAACGGAAGAGTGCCAGCCCCAAGAACCAACAGCCAGGATGGGTATTTCTGTGCTGGGATTTCTCTAGGAATCTGATTGGTTCGTACTGGGTACTCAATGTGAGGTGCCTTGGCCCCAAGGTATCCACCAATGAGGGTAAGGGGAACAGAGATGCAGAACCAGAGCAAAAGGAGAATAACAAATAGAGAAAATGGAATGGCTCCTGTGCTGTGACTACCCCACAATAGGAAATTCAGAGTGGTCAGAATCAAAAAGGCAATTCCAGGGAAGAAACAAGCAACCTTCCATGAGACTGAAACCCATCCCTTGTGATCTCCACAACCAATTGTCCTCCAAAGACGAACAGCAACATAACCAGCTGCAATACCAAGGATCATATAGAAAAATAGCATACCTGTAATAAGTGTCCCTCGAGAAGCTGGTGACATGAACCCAAGAGCAGCAAACAATATGGTCACCACTGCCATCCCGAGGATCTGAACCCCATCACCAACCATTATACACAACAGGGAAGCATTGCTTGGAGCACGGAAAACATCTCCAACAACAAGCTTCCAGCCAGACAACTCCTCATTCATCTGTGCTTGAGCCTCTTTGTCAAGCTCTTCATAACGAGTAAGATCCCTCCGAACAGTCCTCAAGAAGATCACAAGGACAATACCAGCAAGGAAAGTGATCACCATCAGAGAATTGAGAATAGAGAACCAATGGACTTTGGATCCCTCCATCTTCAAATAAGCATCCCACCGCGAGGGCCACTTGATGTCACTCTCCTCAAATTCAACCTCATATGTGAAGACAATTGGCTGCTTTTCATTAACGGGCATTGCCACAGTGGTGGGATCACATTTAATAGGAGCAGGGTACTTTTCATACATTTTCGACTTCTTCACAGAGTCTGCATTATGCATGAAACTGCAAGGTATCACCTCAAATCCTACAATAATATACCCGGGCACATCTGAATCTGATTTGGCAACTGTTGGGATGACCTCCGCCCCATCACCAGTACCCATCACACGTGCTACATTGGGTTCCTCGTACTTATGAACAAGTACCTTGAACTTCAAATGATTAAACACATAGTACACATCCTTAACCTTAATTCCTACTGGATACCCAGTCCACCGCAACACAAAGCCCTCCTTCTTGGTATACCGGATCGCAGGCAAATTATCGAGAATCAAATTGACCTGATACATCTCATCAATCCTCTTCTTCAAGAGATTAAACTGATCTCCCGACAATGGACCCGTGTGACACAAGAAGATCTCAGACTCATTGGTGTGCATCTTAAACTGATATGGAGAGTTCTCAATGCGGTCTCCCATGAGGAGCTCACCGAGATTCTCAGCACTGTCCTTAACCCCATCTTGGGGCTGACAAAAGGGCAAACTGTAATAACTAAAGGGTATTTCTGTATCAATGGAGGTCAGAGAGTTCACTTTCACCCCTAAGGTGTCCCCGACAACGTGCTTGTGAGGGTAACTACCGGGAAGGTACCACCCATATCCCGATTGAAATATCAAGAAAATGGTCAGAACCCAGGTCCTAAGTCGATGAGAAAATTCCATTCTTCAAGGTTTGTGTCAGATCTGGGAGACCCAAAAGAGAAAATGAGCAAAATTAAACCAAAATTTAGCAGTCTCTATATGGGTTTTCAAATTCAAGGAAGATTCAGTTACAAAATCTAATCAGACTATAACAGCCACAGCATTAAAGATCCAGCAATAACCATACAAATAGCAAAATAACTTGTTTTGTTTCTTTTTCTTTCAAATGAAGTGAGGATCTAACTGACCTTTAGCAGAGTGTCAGACATGGACAACCCAGAGAAGACGTCTCTAAGTGAAGCAGCAGAGATCTTCGAGCTCCGGAAATCTGCTGGGTTTGGGATTTTAGGAAGGAAAAGGCCAAATAGGAGTGAGGATTGGGGCGCAATGCAAATAGCCAATCAATATATGGTTGGTCTTTCTTCGAGAGAGCGCCACTGTTTTGGCCTTTTTACTATATGGATCCTAAATGCCCCTACACAATGTCTGAAATGCCAGATCTGATCTCGCCTCAAGTCGCATTTGCTTGATTTACCATTTTCATTGATTCGTGTCCTTTTCCGAGAATTGCTATTTTGCCTAATTGCCTGCCTGGAGGCCGGATCAGACTTTTTATTTTATTAATTATTTAAGAACGTTGTTGTTAAGTCATTAACACGGCGGTTAAAGAGTACAAGAATAAAAGAAAAGGAAAAGCCACTTTCATAAATTTTGGGATGAAACACGTCATTGTGTGGTGTTGATATAAATTGTGGTTTTTCTTTTTCTTTTCGTATCATAAAAGTTTAGTGAAGTTATTCATAAGCTTAATATTAACATATACAATCAAATCATTTTGAAATATGCTACGATCAGTCGTCTATACATAAATATTAATAAAATTTAATAAGTTTTCGAAACTACGCAATTTCTTTCTTTACATAACACTCATTGTACGTAAGTATATATCTTTTATTAGTCGCTATAATATTCATGATAGTATCTATTTCCCTATTATCATCATAATATACTATAACATCCCCTTTTTACTCCTTAATCAAGCATGCTTTTTGACTAACTTTTAGTGAGTTGGAATCAATTTGAAAAAAAAAAGCAAGATGCCAAACTGCCAAACTTTGATTTCAATTAGAAGCTTAGGGGGAAGAATTCTAAAACAATTACATGTATTGGTATTACCATCTGTCAGGAAGTCACGGCGGAAGATCTTATTTAACCTTTTTTTTTTTTTTTTTTTTTCCTTCCCCATAAGTCGCTTCATATTGACTTCTTCAATCACTACTTTTTCACGATATAAAATGCGTATCTCTGCCGTCGACTCATTGTTTAATTTTTAATTTTTGAGACAGTGGATCAAATTATTTTTAATCTGGCAAGATGGAAAGTAAAGACAAATAAGGCTCAAGATCGAACAATATAGTAAGTATATCTTAAATGATTCCAGTAATCACACATTAACATACGATTCACGACTATGATAAACCCCCATAAGTATTTGATCTCGCTGGTTTAATAATTTTTCTTCTTTTTAATTGAATTTGAAAGTAAGATCGATACATAAAAGTTCAAATTCTATTTGAGACTGCTTATGAGAAAAAAGCTGTCTGAAAGACGTTTGGCAGAAAATCTTATTATTAAGAATAGCAAAATAGTGATATTTCCATTGCAGTCTGAAAGAGCTAAAAACAACTTTCTATTTGCGTTCAGCAGAAAATCTTTAAAATATTTCTTTCTTTGAACTGCCTTTAAAGGGCAAAAGACTTTCCCGTTGGTCGGGGATAGCAAAACAATGATATCTCAGTTGCAAGTAAAAGACTTTCCCGTTGGTCGGGGATAGCAAAACAATGATATCTCAGTTGCAAGTAAGTATTTCTCTTTAAAAGGCTCGTGTTGTATTTGTGATTGAATCACCTTCAAACGTTTAACACATTCTTCCCACACATTTTGTCAAATTAGAAAGCGGATGTTCTTCCATGACCATGTGTATATCTCACAAGACAAGCCCATGTGAGAAAACCAGCCTTAAAAAG